ATATAGCATCTGAGAGCCCTTCCTAGCCAAACTGACCCAGGTTAGGCTAGGTGGGCAAGGTGAGCCTACCTGACTCTATTTTCCATCACAAAGGGAGGCCATCAGGGTTGCTTATTGGCCTCTTTCCTCTTTTTTTCACATTAATGAAGTTGTGATGGGTTTAGAAGGGGGAAAGTATTTTCCCTCTCAAAATACTGGACTGATTTGTGTCTGTCCTTCTTTACACAGGTGATATGGTTTTGCTGTTCCGAACTCCTCTGAGCTTGACACATATGTTAAAGGCTTTTAGGCCTAGATTCATAAATGTATTTAAGGGGTCTAAACACCAGACTTAGGTGCCTAAGTCCCAGTTATAGGCTCCACTGCAATTCACAAAATGCCTGCTGAACCCTGTAGGTGCCTAAGCTCACTTGGGGCTAGATTCACACAGGGACTTAGGTGTCTGACACTTTAGGCACCTAAATCCCTGAATCAGGCCCCACTGGAATTCACAAAGCCTCTGCTCATCTTCTGCAGTGGGAGCATGGATGTGAGGTCATGTCAACTCCATAGATGGAGAAGCCAAAAACCTGCCAAGTCACAAACAAGGTAGGTAAGAGAACCGCTACAGCCCCAAATCACACATATCCCAATAACATGTACAAAGGGATAATTTTATTGATTACATACTGTAGAGCTGATAGCATTAGTCAGGAGATACATGCAGATAAAGTGTGTTTAAACTTGGCATGCAGACTAGGAGCGCTATATAACTGGTAGGAGGTGAGCACCATCTTTAAGCAGTGTGGAGAGGAAGGAGCAGGCTTTCCCCTACTGAACATGCTTACATGAGTTTTGTGAGAGTCAGGACAGTGCTGGTAGCTCTCTTGTCTGGAGTAGAGGGGAACTGTGAATGATAGAACCTCAGAAAAGAATTAACTTGAATTGGACTTACATAACTTAGCAGGAATATGTGAAAAGGAAAAGAGACCTGGTTTACTATCTGCCTGTAACACGATGACTGGACCCAGTTCCGCAATCAAATATCTACAAATACAAAAAATGTATTTAGTCTCTTAAAAATACATTCCACAGTGTCTGGAGTGCTCAGGTGCTGAATGGTAGCAAGGCAAAGGTGCATCCCCAATGCACAGTGAAATAATCAAGGAAGAGTTAGACGATCCCTTGTGTTGTATGCCCTACAAAGCAGCTACATCACTCTTCACCTCTTGCGTAGTAAATGGTCTTTATGCACATGGGTGGAGTGAGTGTGGCTAGTTCTATTAAAGGTGGACACTAGTGTAACTATTTCTTCACTCTCTGTAAATCCTTCCCCCCAAACACCCATGGGAGCCACCTGCACCCTATTCTTTGTGTTTTCCTTGCTTTTCTGAGCATCTTCAGCATCATAGCCCTCCTGTTGCCCCTGTCATGTCTAATGAGCTGGTATCTGACAATTCCCACCACTGATGGACAGAGGCAGCAAAGAACATCAGATATTCAGACTCCTGAATTTCCAGAGCCACTGGAGGGGCCATACCTTGCTCAATGCATCCCCAGGGATGGCTGCAGTTTCATTTCCAGACATGAGGGAAGTGAAGGGAGCTACTCTTGAACCACCTAGTCCAAGAGGTGCCTGAAGCAGGCCCGGCCTGAGGCTGTCCATGGCAGTGTGAAAACTCCTTCAGTAAATACCAGTTTTTCCAAAACCTAGCTGGGAGGTGTGGTCTGCATATAATGGGTTGGATTTTTCTTCAAGTTTTTCTTGGGAGATGAGAACAACAGTTACATACTCCCACAGGCAGCAAATACAGTTACAACTTTGGAATTCTCTGAATGTCTGATTCACATTTCAGCATTATCAAGTCCATGGAAACCCCACCATATTCATATGCTACAATTACAAACATTTCCCCAGTGCTGACAATATTTACAAATATTTACTCTATTTTACAGCTGTTCTCAAAAGTGTGCAATTTGAGTAAAATGTCATGTTTCCTGAAATCATTAATATTAGTTTAATAATACAATCAGCTCCTATTGCACTCAGGTTTAGGGGATATGTCCCCGTTAGGTTTCAATGAGGATTTCTCGCTCAGAGTTAATCTCAGATTTGTTAAGAAGATAACCCACAACCTAGTTACTGACATTTACATTCATTATTTACAACCAGTGAAATGGTAGTGAGATTGTTTCTGTTCAAGAACACGAATCCAAATAATATGACTTAAAGTAGTGAATGAACAGTCCAAACTACTGGCCAGGATAACTGAAGACAAGTTCTTATCTGCTCATCTCTCTGGGCCCCAGGAGTAAGGAGACAGTCCTCGATCCACTGTGTCTGTCTTCCACAGGACCCTCCTGTGGAGAGTAGAAGTGGCACTGAACACTCCAGTGCTCCTAGTCCACTGCTGAAAGGCTGCTGATGCCGGGTGTGGACAGGCTCTGATGGGAGCTGGCACCATTCAGAGTTAACAATGAGGCTCACTGCATTCGTCCTTGGCTCTGGTGACAAGGCCGTCAGAGGGAAAGGGCAGTGGTCGCATTTGACCTGAATTTCAGACGTGTTTAAAGGCAGGGGAGGTGACTGACAGTGGGGCTTGAGTTTTATGGCTGTCCAAATGGGGAGTTCCTGTTTGCAGGCAGACTGAGGAAGGGCACTGCCCAGTGCTTGGATGACTGCTTCTAAGTTAGCATGGCCCCATTCCTGCTCTCAGTGCCATCTCTGGCAACACCCCTCTGGCTTCAATGGGAGCAGACAGAGGGGCTGTGTGAATGCTGCCTAATTAGCAACATGAGGCCTCCCGCCCAGGTTCTGTGCAGACTGAAGGGAGCTGGAGTGATGGTGCATGTAGCACACTCCCCCCTCAGGAGACATAGGGGCATTAAGATGTGGCCTGAGGAATGGCGAGGCCAGAGATCACTGCAGACTCTGCTGGCTGGGTTTGCCCAAGGCCCTGACCCAGCAAATCATCTATGCATGTGTGTAGCTTTCATTCTAAAGTCAGTGGGACTGTAGTTGGGCTGAAAGTTATGCACATACTTAGGAGTTTCATTGGATCAAGGCCAAAATGACTTTTTGCTGCGCAGCATCTTGGAGAGGGAGGCTGTGAGGGCTAGAGGACAAGGCAGTGACTTATGGGTACAAGCCTGGCATCTGATGACCTCAAAACTGCCCCAGTAAGGAGTGAAATGAATGCCTTGAAAAGAGCCTGTGGCAACACTGTATTCAGCTGAGGCAGTGCCTGAATGAGGAAAGGCTTGGAAGGAACCACAGAGTCTATGCTGGGTATGTGACCCTCGAGGGCACTGAGAAGGGTTGTCCAGCAGGGGAACAGCCACAGCACAGACACCTTCACCAAGGCTGGGCTCAGCTACAGCAGGCTAACGCCCCTTGGTGGCCATGGGAATGGTTCAGCTAGTTCCCTGCATGAGTGGCAAGGCTCAGAGAGCTACCCTAACCCTGCACAGAGGGGCAGGCTCAGCCAGCAGCAAGCTAGTGCATGGACCGGGATAGAGGCACAATGGCAGCAGAACAAGCCTTTGCAGGAGGGGCTCACATGCTGCTGGTGCCCAGGGCTCACATGCTGCTGGTGCCCAGGGAGCCATTTACCACAGATGACATGGCCCAACTCACTGCTGAGATGAGGTCCAGTGACAGCAGTGGGATTTAGACTTTGAAGTAACTTCAGCACTGTTGAAAATTTTAGCCATGAACCTTGGGAAAGTAAGGGGGGAAGACATAAAGAGGAAGGATTGGTCTATTATCAGCATACAAAGAAAACCTTGTACTGTGACTTTGACTATGCTTAGAGCGGAGTTAATACACAAGTGCAATCACCCTTCCCAAGAGAATGAAACCAGCCATAACCCTTTGCTGCCAGTCCAGCAGCTGGCCTGGGGAGCACTTCTTCCTTACTGCTCACAAAGTGCTGCCTCCTGTGGGGTACATTGGGAATTTGGGTCCAGTGATGGTACAGAGTGTTCAGAGCACTGCTGCTTCCAGGTGTGGTGGGACAGGATGTGCCCAGCTTAAAAGGAAAGAAGGCTAGTGAAGGCTAAACCCTGCCCCCAGACCCGTGGAAGGGACAAACATGGCAATTGTGTGGAGCATTAACACTGTCAACAAACACCGAGTTCCAGCCTCGTTCCCTTTCAGTGGAGGTTCGTGGTGGCCATGAGAGGGTGGGGAGGAAACCGTTATATGCAAGGGTGTCCTACCAGCAGAGGGTGAAGAGCCTACTGCAGCTGCCTCAAAGCTTAGGCTGAGGAATCTGCAGAACTCCCTTTGCCCAGCAGATGGCGTAAAGTAGAGGGACTGGAGCAGTGGGCCCCAAGGGGAATTGGTGTGCTACACAAGGTGTATCTGCGGCAGGCTGCTCCCCAGCCCTGAGATGTCACGTAGTAAGTGGTTTGTTCTGGGAGCAGATCACCCCTCTCTTGGCCACAACAATGTAGGCTCAGGACACTCCTGTCATTCGGGCTCTGCTGTCCTTACCATACGAGGTTGCAGCATGGGCAGGAGTCAGCCACAAAATGAGTTCAGCTCTCCTGGTGTGGGGCTGAGGGCATGAATGTCAGGCAATGAATCCTCCCCTCACATTGCACTGGACAGGCCAAGCAGAGGGGCTCTGAGCGAGCTGGGCCTTACCCAGCAGCCTCCCAGGCTGAGCTCCTCCATGGATTCCAGGTGCTGGGGAGACCCAGTGGCAAGCATGAGGGGAAGGCAATGTTGTTTCCTGGGACCCGACAGGGACTCCTTCCTCCCTGGCCCAGAGTGCAGTGCCCCCCACTGACAGTGCATGGGGGTTAGGTGGGTGCAGAAGATAAGGGCTCAGTAGGCTCCTCTTCTTTTCTCCTATTATTGCTCCAGCCTCCCTCCCTAACCCCAACCCCTGGATTGGCTGGGCCCACTGGTGATCCCCTCCTATGGGGAGGGGCAGCCATTCCTGATGGCTAAAGGAGAGGTCTGGGGGAAAGAGCAGCTGTTTCTATATGTGAGTTGGGGATAGGAAGATGGGAGAGGGATGGGGTTGTCTATGGGAACATGAGAGCTCTGTACCCATCTGTGGTTCACATGCAAACTGCCTTCCCTGACAGCAAACAGACTATGAGATCACGGCACTGACTGGGCTGGGAGCCATGTAGCACCCCCCCCACCCGCACTGTGCGGGGTGGGTGCCATGCAGCACTAATAGCCAATGCAATGGAGTCAGGGTGGAATGGCTCCCAGCATGGCCAGAGGGGAGACAGGAAGGTTCAGGCAATCACCCTGTCCTGAAGCATGATGGGAGGTTCGTGGAATAGCCCCTGTCCAGTGTGGTAACAGGGAGGGGCAAGGAAAAGCCCCTATCCAGAGGGGTAGTGGGGAGAAGGTAGAACAGCCCCTGGCCAGAAGGGCGACACACAGGATGGCGCCTGGCAAGGCTGGAGAATGGCCTGAGCATATCAATCCCAGTTTAGCTCAATGCTCATTTGTGCCTCTTGGAGAGGAGGGTTCTGCCTTCGAGTGCAGGGTGCAAAGCTCCACTCATGAACCTCAGTGCATGGCAGCTAAGGCGGGAGAGGGGGGTGGGAGGGGCAGTGGGAGCACAGAGCTCTGGCTGAAAGGCAGCCAGGTCCAAGCTGGGGGAAGCGTTCATTGCTGTTTTGCTTGGCTCAGTAAACAGCCTTGTATTATCAAATCTCTGGCCAAGGAGGAATGGGGTGGCAAGGCATGCCAGGCCTGTGGCAGGAATCCTGGTGAAGAAGCTCTCTAAGCAATGTTCTCTGCACATGGATGTGACCTGGGGTGAATGCGTTCCTCCTTCATGTGGCTGAAGAGATCTGGGAACTCATGTGCTTTCCTGGTGCAAGGTGTTTTGACTGAGCAATAGCAGAGTCAGATTAAGAATAATGCAAACTTTCACCATGACACTGAAAACTTTCAGACGTGGAAGGACTTGGTTCCTTTTGAAAATCCAGATGTGCTCAGCAGCTGTAAGAGCCAGTTGCATTGTGGCCATTGGGGTAGCTCTACTGTTCTTTATAAATTACAGTGGTTAATGTAGGGTTCTCTTTTGTACTGCAAGTACCATAGCAGGCTATAGAAGCAGTGGCCACGGACCCAGAGGAGTTTCCATACTGATACAGACCTATATTCCTGTGGAGACAAATCCAGTCTCAGACCAGAGATGAGAAGTGGGGTTCCCCTGAGAGAAGTCTCTGCAGCCACCTTCCTGGCAGAGAAGGAAAATGTGCTCGTTAATCTTCTGTCCCACACAAATCACATTAGAAAACAGATTCCAGGCTAGCTGAAGGCTTCGTTGCGTTTACAAGGCAGGAATGACACCCATGCAGCTGGTAACAGCCTTGGCTCTTGCCCCACGAAATGGAGTGTTCGTTTGGTGAAAGGAAAGAAGTTCATCTCCTAGAGGTCATCCGGGAGGAGCGGGAAATGCCCTAGAAGAGAGAACCCCACAGCATCACATACTGAGCAGCTCAGAGATCTGTTCCTCTCCAACAGCAGTATGCACCAGAGGAACAAACATCACAACTTCTCTTGGACAGCCACCACCACCCAAACCCTCTCCCTTTACCGCCTCTCCTACCTTCCCCTGGAGGGAGCAAATGCCACAGCCTCATGCACAGACAGGGCAACTCAGAGGGAGCAGACAGGGTCAGATCTGGCCAGTGGAACCTACCCCCTTTCTGTATTTATACTGGAACAGCTCTGACATGCCCCATCTCATCCTTAGGCTTCCCAATGATACCATGGCCTTGTCCAGGGACAGGTCGTATTTGTTAAATCAGCCTCCTTGAGCTACAGAAGGAGCACAGTTTTGTAGTTGCTATTTTCTCAGTTTTATGGAATTTTTCCCTTAGGGACCTGGCCTGTTTCCCAGTGGATATAACCAGGGCACTAGTTTCCAGGGTTTTCCAGCTGCCAACCTCAAGAAGGCAGCCTGCAATCTATGAATCACACTGGCCTCATCTTGTGCATCATCACCAGTAATAGGTGACCCTGCAGGGCCAAAATAAGCCCTCAGCTAAATCTGTGGAGCCCCATTTTCGGCAGATCATGATCCTAATGACACCCGTGCAATGTCATTAACCTTAAGGTGTCCCTCTGGGAATACTTTGGCTGCAGAACAACTACCATTGGTGATGAGGCAGGGAATGGAAAGAACTCAGCTTGACTCTCAGACCCAAAGGGGAGTTGGTGGCATTGACAGTTATAAAACATGTCTTATTTCCAAATTAGACAGATCTGATCTCGAGTCATGGAGACACAATGCATACGGAGCCCCATGATGCCATTTGACAGTCGCTTTTCACAGCAGTCACATTAAGTTGCATAGTGCTTACTTTGCTAACAGCATCCATCGAAAAGAGCATACTCAGGACAGATGCCATGCACTCTAAGTGCCAGTGCAGACAGGCTCTGAAGGAACAGCAGCCAAATGTCAAAAAATTCATATCTTTACGAGTTCCCAGGCAGTGTTTCTCAGGCTTGGCCATGCACGTGCTCAGGCCCATGTCAGCTGACCCAGGCTTGCGGGGCTCAGGCAACAGGGCTGTTTAATCATTACGTAGGCATTTGGGCTCAGGCTGACTTCCAGGCTTTGGGACCCCTTGAGGGAGAGGGTTCCAAAGCTCAGGATCCAGCCCAAGCCTGAACGTCCGCAACTGCAATTTTACAGGCCTGCAGTTCAAGCCCTGCGAAGCCAAGTCAGCTGCCATGGGCCAGCCATGGGTGTTAAAGTGCAGTGTAGGCTCATGCAAATCCCCTCTGAGTTCTCTGTGTGGGGAAGGAAGTGGTGCTTGTGAGAGAGGATTTCCTCACCACCCACTGCTCCAAACTCTGACAAACGAAAATCAATGGGAAGAGACCCTGCACACAAGCCTGTACCCAAAGGAAAGTTCAGAGTGAGGCAAAACAGGATGTCACCCCGACTGACTTGCAATCTGTTGGGTTTGCTTCTCAACAAACACTGAACAGAAAGAGTTCTGAGCAGCTCCTGCACTGTTCTTCACACCTAATTACACAGGGAGCGAAAATAGCCACCTGACCCTCCACCCACTTACCTATACCCCTGTGACCCTGTCCCCCGTGTGAAAAGAGGTAGGAAGGATCCGCATACCCCAAGCACATGGGCAGGAATGGACCCCCAACCCTGCAGCAGCAGTGGCCCCAAGGCTGACCTGGCTGTAGGGTGAAAGTCAGCAAGCTTGCAAATCTCTGAAGCCTCACCCTTGACCAGTTTAGTTCTCTTTAGAATAGCACTTAGATTGACCTACCTGGTCCTCTGTCTTGCAGCCCAGCTGTGCATGGGGGCTGGTTCCAGGGCGCTGCTGCAGCTCCATCTGGGAGGTTGGCCTTTTCTCTGAAGTCTCAGCCTGGGACAGCTGCTCAGAAGAGCCATATTGTTTTCTTCTGGAACTGGGAACAAAATCTTTGCTTTCCTCCTGTAGTAATAGGAGCAAAAAGGTTGGAAATCTTGTGCTGTTCAATACACCAGAGAGTGCCCAGAACTATAGCTGCCTCCAAGAGTCCTGCAGGTGTGCAGCATCAGAGAAGTCATGGCTAATTTAGCTAATGTGCCCACTTGCCCATGGTGAGTTTCACCATCCATTGTGCTGTCCAGTCTCACAAAGGGCATAAAGCCTTCTGGGGAACCTCACAGTCCTCTGTCAGTTTTACTGATGAAAATAACTTTGCATCATCAGCAAACGACCTGCTGCCCATGTATTCCCACAGCAAACCCAGAGTGCAGAATAACTGATGCAATGACAAGGTCCCAAAGTTAAAAAAACAGTTTAATCAGGCAAGAAATGTAGAAATTAGGACTGCAACAGCACCATTAACTTGGCTTCAGGGCAAACTGCTTCGTTTTCAATTAATATTTATAAAAATAAACAGCAGCGTTCTGAAGCCAACATTTTTCGAAGTGGGCACTGAGTGAGGGGCTTCCCTTTTTGGATGCCCAGTGTTAGACACACAGGCCCAGATCCTTAGAGATACCTCAGCATTGCTCTGGTCAGGGTTGCAATGCGTAACCAGGCCCGCCCGGGGGGGTGGGGGGGGCAAGTGGGGCAATTTGTCCCGGGCCCCACAGGGGCCCTGCAAGCCCTGGCCCAGCGGCAGCCTGGGTCTTCAGCGGCATTTCGGCGGTGGGTCCTTCAGTGCTGCCGAAGACGCGGAGCGACTGAAGGGCCCCCCGCTGCCGAAATGCCACCGAAGACCCGGAGTGCCGCCGGGTGAGTACAAGCGCCGCAGCTCCCCCGCTTTGCCCCAGGCCCCCTGAATCCTCTGGGTGGCCCTGTGCGTAACCCCTAGGTGCTCTGCCGCCCTGTTGCATTTCAACCCATGCTACGTGCCCAGACCCCCCCATAAGGTAGGTGTCTAAGCAAGGGGTTCTCAGAAGTCAGGTAGCTGAGCAGGGAGCCGTCTAAGCCAGCCAAGAGCAAAAGGTTGAGGAGAGGGGTAGAGAGAAGAAAGGGGTATAGATGCCTAAGTGGCTGACCTGGTATGACCTGACATCTCCCTCCATTGAGGATCCTCAGCCACGAATGCTCTCCTGCACTTAGGGACCTAAGCCCAGATTCTCAAAGGTATTTAGGCACCTAATTCCCATAGGAGTTAGGTGTCTAAATACCTTTGAGGATCAGGGCTCTAAGCCAGTTCAGCTGCTTAGGAAGCCCATGTCCTAGCATCTGTAACCATTTCTCTCTCTCTGTTTCTTGCTCATGCTTGATACCTTTCTCGTGCTTGCCCTACATTTTCCGTTGGCCCTGGTGCTCTCTTCTGTAGGCTCTCTGCTGCCTATTAGTGGCCTGTCTCCAGCCCTCCTGCTGAGGGGTCTGACTGGTATCAGGACTTAGGCCTGCTCAGAGAATGCTGACTGGATTAGGCCCCACTAGCAAGCCAGGCATTCCCCTGCCTAGTTTGAGAATCCTACTTCGGGGGCTATGAGGTTTCAGCAAGGGCTCGGAGCAGCTCAGTAGCTGTGGGGCAGAGTTAGTACTTCGGCGGTTTTGCAAATCCTGACCAGTGGAAACTTAGGCACCCAGGGCACTTAGGCGCCAGCTGAGTCACGGCTTTCAAAATGCCAGTGGCACCTCAATGATGTGCTTAGGTACCAGCAGAGGCAGATCGGCTTCTAAGCACTTTTGAGGATCTGGGCCCTAGTATTTGATTTTCAGAGATGAAGAACGTCTACAGCTCCCATTGATTTCAACCAGGTAACCAAAAACTGGATACTCTAAAATTAGCAGCTGTCTTTGAAGATGGGAGTCTAAACTACCTCTTAAACAAACAAAGCAGAATTAAAATATACTCCACCTGTGCAATGCATCTGGTTACATGTTGCTACTGGAACAACTTTTCCATTTCTGGACTTTGTGGTTGCAATTGTGCAACATTCAAGTCACATAAACATAACTTTATGCATTTAGTTTGTTTTAAAGAAAGAAAAATTATCTACGAACTCTGAAGAGTTTGGTTTAATTCAGTGGGAGTCAGATCAGCCCCGCATATTTAGCAGAGAAATGTATAACAGCATCCAATGGCTGGAAGTTGAAGCAAGAGAAGTTCAGTCTTGAAATAAGGTGTACATTTTTAACAGTGAGAGTAATTAACCATTGGAACAATTTACCCAGTGTCATGGTGGATTCTGCATCACTGACCATTTTTAAATCAAGATTGACTGTTTTTGTAAAAGCTGGGGCAGTTCTCTGGCCTGTGTACACAGGATGATCACAGTAGATGATCAAAATGATCCCTGCTGGCCTTGGAATCTAGGAACACCCTCATTCCATCTACATTCTAACACCACTCTGTGTATTCTTGCTAGAGTTTTATCTGGGATGATTATAGAAAGATTTTGAAACAAGAAGAATGTCCTTTGAAAAATACTCATTTTGAGTGTGGCTAGTATCCCTAAACAAGAAATTGCATACTTCCCCCAGCACTCCAAATCTTTTCCCATTTCCTGAGGTAGTGCTCTGATATTGAAATCATGGAGCTCTTCTAGGCACTTTAAGATCTGATTCCCAGGTATTTGTATCAAATGTTTTCTGGTGACTTCTCAGAGGCTGGCAAATTCACAGACAGCACTTCAGATTTGGCATATTTTACTTTAAAGCCACTCATTTTCCTAAAATAATGGATTTCTTTAGCTGTTTGGGTTAGATACAAATAATATCACATCCTTGGTGATTACAACTGATATGTTCTTGCAAGTTCTATTCCTGTGATAAATTCACTGTGCAATAGGCTCCACGGCTAAGGCTGAGAGTTTGTCACAGAGGTCACGGATTCCATGACATTCCGGGACCTCCATGACTTCTGCAGTGGCTGGTGTGGCTGGCCCGGGGGCTGCCTGAGCAGCTCGAGCAGCCCCTGGGCCAGCCACATCGGCTGCTGTGGGGGCAGCCTCGGGTCCCCCTCCCCCAGCAGCAACAGGACATTGGGTGGGCGGCTCAGGGCTGGGGGTTGGGGCACAGGAAGGGGTGGGGGCTCTGGGCGGCGCTTACCTCGTGGGGGAGGAGGTCTCCCCGGAAGCGGCGACATCCCTTGGCTCCTAGGTGGAGGCATGGCCAGGGGGCTCTGCGTGCTGCCTCTGGGAGCTGCAAAGCCGGTGCTTGGGGTGGAGGCAATGTGCAGAGCCACCTGGCCACACCTCTGCCTAGGAGCTGAGGGATGGTTCCGCTTCTGGGGAGCCGTGGGGGTCCTGGGCCATGCAGTGCCACCCACCTCCCCCCCAGCACCTGCAGGGACTGGGGCCATGGCACCCCCAAGCTGCCTCCCCACAGCACCCGGGGCACCCCCTCCCCAAGATTTAGTCACGGGTCTTTTTAGTAAAAGTCATAGACAGGTCATGGGCAGTGAATTTTTGTTTACTGCCCGTGACCTGTCCATGACTTTTACTAAAAATACCTGTAACTAAAATGTAGGCTTATCCATGGCTAATGTGAAGATTAAAGGAGACAAAGGACACCCCCCTTTAGTTCCCCAGCACAATTCCCACAGGAGAGACTTTGAACAGAAAGGGCTAGATCCACAAAGGAATTCAGGCCCCTAACAGACACTTCAGATGCCTGCATCCAACATTTAGATCCTCAGAACCCGCACTCAGCTGCCACTTAAACCTGTAGGCACCTAAATTTCCACCTGCAAAGTCACTTAGGTGCCTAAAATCTGCTACTGGGTATGCACACAGTCACCTCAGTCCTAACACCTAGGTACCTCTCTCACATGTGAGTCCTGGCAGCAGCCTCAATTTCAGCATTCCCATGCCGACAGGGCCAGCTGGAGAGGCAGGTGCCCTGGGTGCCAATTTCTGGGGGCACCAACTCAACACTGTGGAGTCGGAGTGTGTGACATCATTTGGCTGGGTTTTTCCACCCTGGTTGGCAAAACGCCTAGGGCCAACTCTGCCCATCTATCTTGCCTTAGGGGCCTCACTTTGGCAGGCATGCTCAGAGCCCTGTGCTAAACAGTGCTGATCCCGGAAACGCAGGTGTTGGTGCTGCCTCCCCCTTATAGCCTTCAGCCCACCTACGTGACTTTAGAGTGGAGACCCAGGTTCAAATCCCTCTCGGTTTGCTGTGGAGCAGGGATTTGAACTCCCATCTCCCTTCAGGCTGCCCTAGCCACTGGGCTGGGGATTAGCATGAAGTATGTCTCTTCTAGTCTTGCCTGTTGATGCTGTTCCACTTTGTATAAATAATTAGTCACTGGGCCAGAAACAGAGTGACTGACTTTTAGCCCAGCAGTTAGGGCATTCAATGAGGATGGGGGAGACCCCTGTTGAAGACCAGTCATCATTGACAACTTCCTTTTGAAATACAGACATCAGAACTAGACAGTATCTAGTGATGGTTTCACTAAGGTCTTACACAGAGGTAATACCACCTCCCTACTGTACTTGCTATTCCTGTTTGTACATCCAGGGACCCCTTATAGCATCACACTGGGAACTCATGTGCAGTTGGTTATCTACCATAACCTCTAGGTCCTTTTCAGAGTCACTGCTTTCCAGAGTACAGTCCCCCGTCCTGGAAGGCTGATTTATATTCTTTCTTCCTAGACATATGACCTTGTATTTGGCTGTATTAAAATGGATGTTGTTCAAATGAACCCAATTTACCAAGCAATCCAGTTCAATTGTCCCCATCATTATTTACCACTCCAATTTTTTATCTCATCTGCAAACTTTACCAGCAATGATTTTATATTTTCTTCCAGATCATTAAGATAAAGAACAAAACCCCATGGGACCCCATTAGAAACACCCTCATTGAATGACATTTACAATTACCTTTTAAAGCTATTTAATATAGGCTATGTTGATTTTATATAGTGCTAATCTTTTTTAATCAGCATGTCATGCAAGACTAAGTCAAATGCCTTCCAGTAGTCTACAGGAGTATATTATATTAACAGGTTTCAGAGTGGTAGCCGT